TCCACCATAAGATATTACTAATGTGTGAGATTTATGCTCCACAGGAAATCTATTTTGGGGTTTGTTTAAATTGAAGTCATGTTGTAAAATGATGCTTGGGGAAATGATCTGGTAAAAACATGATGCAGAGAAATGGATTGACGTTTGATGAATGTGTGGTCTTAGCTGGGCTTATTAATTACCTTCCTTACATGTAACTCTTGGACTTGAAATTGTGTTTGTTTTTTTAACTTCTAAAAACAAATGAAAAAAAAACAACAGAACTTGCTGTCCTGAAAACAGCCCTTGTTTGAAATCATCTGATACTATCAATAGTTTTACTCTTTGCTTACCAACCGTTCATTCAGGGACTGTTTGAAATTATAATAGTGCTGAAAAGGAAAATTTTGAAATTGCAGCTGTCATAGCATCCACAAAGTCACACGGTTGCGAATCGGGCAATGCAGTGTGGATTTTGCGATGACCGCCACGTTCTGCGGTCATGTCATTGCCCTTTGCGACCTTCACAGCTGCTTCTGACAAAAGACCTTGCAGGTCACAATCATTTGATATTTTGCATTTAATGACCATCGGTGATCTGCTTAACGATCACAGCTGTTAGAAGTCCTTGTGGTTAAGAGTCATTTCATTTTACAGCCGTGTCACTTAGTGCAGGGCTTTTCAACCAGTGGTACGGGTACCACCTGTGGTACATTGGCACCTGGCAGGTGGTACGCCACCATCCTAGAAAAGTGATAGCGAGGGAAGGGAATGAGCTGAACCGGTGGCAGCACCGCATAAGCCTGAGTGAGAGATGGCTGGAGCTGCAGGGCTGTCGGCTCAGTGGAAGCGCCAGGATCAGTGCTTCGGGGCTGTCAGGGCTCAGCGGAAGCGCCAGGATCAGCGCCAGACTCCAGCTGGAGCTCAGCACTGATCCTGGTGCTTCTGCTGAGCCCAGAAGAAGCGCCGATCAGCTGGAATGTTGCAGCCTCTCCAGGTCTTGTGATTTACATTCAGATGCTTGGCAATTGATTCATATTTATGACGGTCACAGTGTCCCAGGGTCATGTGAAGGGACCAAAACCTGCTGCAACCACCCATCAAACGGGGGGAATAAAAACCAAACACCCCCCACCCCCACCCCCACTGCCAATCCTCAACAGAAACGCTCACAACAATGAAAGCCTCGGACAGGAGGAAGAGCGCCGCCGGGCGGGCAGGCAGGCGTCTTGCTCGGCTGTGGCTTAGGGGGGGCACTTTTTTCAGTGCCATTGTAACTTCGAACAGTCACTAAGCGAACTGTTGTAAGTCGAGGACTACCTGTACTTCATCACTTTTTTCCTTTTTTGGGGGGGGGGTCAAGTTTTTGACACCTTGCTAGGCGACTGGTGGTATTCAGATGTTGCCATATCCTAAAAGTGGTACAATGGGTGAGAAGGTTGAAAAGCCCTGACTTAGTGACATCGTTGCCCGTCCCAGATTCCAGTTGGTAAACGAAGACTTATCTGTACTTAAACGACGTTTCAATATTTTCTCATGCTCGGATATTTTCTGTTAATTCGGTACATTTGTGGGAATGCGCTTTGACTTGTTGGTTGGTTGCATGCATGCTGTTTGACTGCCTAAAGGGCATATATATATTTACTCTGCAGCAAGCTTGCAGGCCACTCTGCTGTGTATATCCTTGCTGGTTATGAAATTCGAGAGGGCAAAGGTGTGGGATGAGATTGCCTCCTTGTAAATCTCTGCAAACTTCTCGTGCCTTCTCTGGGATCGTCTTTGCAACCTTTTACATTCCAAGATAAGGGGTGTCCCAGCCTCTTGGCCCGAAGACACCGAAGAACATATTGTTCCCCGGGCTATTTCAATCTTAATGATGATCAAAGGGACACCTATCTCAGTTAGATAAGGACAGAAAGTTACAGTTAACATTGTATTTTTTTTTTAATCCGCTTGTATTATTTCTTTTGTCTCACTGTAAACAACCTTGAGCTCTTGGAAGTGGCTTTCTGCATCGGTGCAAAAACTTTGGTCGAGGTCAGCCGTGAAGTAAAGGATATTTTTGTCTAGTGATAAGAACAAATTCCCTGTCAGTGAACAGCTTAATTTGACCCACAGGCCTGATTATGTCTATCTGATTATGTCTGTTGGTTCTCAGCCATGTTTTGAAAAAAATACCAACATATACATACATACATACATACATACATACATACATACATACATACATACATACATACATACACATACTGGGAAAGCAGAGGATGCCCACCTGAGATACAGACACAAAAAAGGAGTGAGGAGGGTGGCAACACACATGTAGGTAAAGGAGGTAAGGAAGAATTAACTTGGTTTGCAGATGAGGCCAGGATTGGCCAGCCGGGACCTGTCACAAGATCTAGGAGCCGTGCGCAGACGTGACTGTAGTTATAAGCATCCTGATTATACCCTGACGATGATGGCAGTTTTAGGCCATCGAAAGCTTGGTTTTATTTATTAAAACTGTATTGTTTTATACTTCCTGGTGATCACTTTGCTGTTTTTTAAAAATATGTTCATACCCAGGAATCGATCTTCTATTTTTAATGTTATTTTTAATATACACATACATACAGACATACATATGCACATACATATACACATACATACATATGTGTATGTATACATATGCAAGGGGAGGGTGGATGGTGACATACACACAGTTAAGGGATGCAAGAAAAAAGCAACAACTTATGCAAAAATTACGGCCAACAACCTATAAAAGAAACTCTCCCACTGACTAGCATCTAACCCTGACGATGTCGGTAGTATACCGACGAAAGCTTGGTAATTTTATTAAACTTTTTCAGTTTATAATATTCCTGGTGCTCACGTTTATTTTATTTGTTCAGAATATGAATATACCCAGGATTCGTATTTTTAATGTTATTGATACATATACACATACATATACATACATACACATATATACACAAATACACACACACACACAATACATACATACATAATATATATATAATTTTTATATATAAATAAAAAAAATATTAGAATTATTTCCACTCCATTTCAACTGTAATAGCAGCTCCAATTTTTTTAGAAGATGTCTTATTTACGTTTTAGCTCTTGTGAGCTTTAAAAAAAAACCCGGTTACACTGCCTGTTTTCTTTTTAAAAAAAAAGTTGCTAGAAGGGAGGAAGTAATATTTTAAAAATAAAACATAAAGCTAGCAGGAGGCCATGGTCAAAATTGCTGTCACAACAATTTGAAGATCTGCTCATATCTGTTTAAATTTCTTTAGCGAGAACAATGGGACTGAGGTCTGAATAGATTGAGCGGATCAATTTTACGTTTTTATTATAGCCTAGAGTTTGACATTTCCCTTAAGAGCGGCGTAACCATGTTATTTCAATTACTCATGCTAGAATTGCAGGCAATTTGAACATCGCTGTAGGAAAGCACAAAACCCTCTTCCCATATCATTGACTGGAGGGTAGCGGTTGAACAAAGGTGCAATAATATTTCAAGTTGGAACTGATAAATACGCGTCTTCAGAACCAAAATGAGTCTGCCGAGGACGCTGACTGCCAGTTTTGAGCATTTATCTTTTGGTAAATATGCCTTTGTTAATGGAGACGTCGCCGATGGTGGTATGCTTTCTCTCTGAAGAGGCGTAACTACTATATCCCGATTATTTAAATTGTCTCCGATTAAAACTCAAGACCTGGGATGGCTTTCCCATTTTGAATTGGTAGGAATTCTTCTTTTAGTCAGCGGCTAAAGCAGTGGTTCTCAACCTTTTTAATGCCGCGACCCCAACCGGTCATAAGTCGAGGACTAAACCGGTCGTAAGTTGAGGACTAAACCAGTCGTAAGTCGAGGACTAAACCGGTCGTAAGTCGAGGACTACCCAACCGGTCGTAAGTCGAGGACTTTCCCTGCCCGGGAGCGCCGCGCATGCGTGGTTCCGCCCCTGCACCGGCCGAGGCGTAGCTGGCAAGCGGCAGAGACGGAGCAGGCCGACCACCAGCTGGCCCAGCCCAAGGGAGGTAAGGCACCCGCCGGAAAAGGGGGGAAAAATGGCGGACAAAAAAATGGCGGACAGCCTTGCTTGGCGACCCCCATGAAATGGTCGATCGACCCCAAATGGGGTCCCGACCCACAGGTTGAGAACCAC